GTTGAGCTGCAAGGCCGCCGGCAGCCGGGACTGTTGGGGGCGGGGTGTGTGGCCTTATGACACACTTCCGGTGATGTCAGGGGGTGTGGCATATGCTAATGAGTTATGCTAATGAGTTCCCCTAGCTCTTTTTCTAAGAAACAACCCCTGGGGGGGAGCCATACAGCTCTACTCAGTTAAAAGGACTGGGCAATACCACTCTGTCAAAATCACTGCTCTAGGTTAACAGCTTTAGGTAGAGAGTCTCTTTCCTATCTTACAGAGTGAGGAAGTGACCACCTATTTGGAGCAATCCGTGGTCTGGGTTCCAGGGGAGAAGCCTGTTGAAAGCAAAGACTTCCTGGAGAACTCCAAGATTTTCGACCTCTGCAAAAATGTGACCACATACTGGATCCACCCAACCTTGCTAACAGGTACTGTCTTGGGCAATGTTAACAGACCTCCCCCCCCCCCTTTGTTAGCGGACACAAACCTCATCACAGGACTATTTCCTAAGCCGTGAAACTGCTGTGCGAAATGCAGACACAAAACCACAGCTTGCGCCCATGGTAGAACTGGATTTCAGTGCGGCGGAAGCAATATGGGCAGCCAAGCCAGATCTTTCTCCTGTGAAGAGGCCAGCTGTAGTTCCTTATCAGCCTTTGTGCAGCAGAGGGCTTTGCTCCGCTAAAAAAAGAAAAACAACTGTCTCCTTCAAAGGACTGCATTTTCCAAAATCCAAAAACACAGAGCTTGTCTTATCTCAGCTGGCGGTGGGAGGGGGGGAATTGAACTGATTCATGCTAGATAGGTCTGTCAAAAGTTATTAGCCACTCTGTGTGCCGCAGTGGTATTACAAATGTAACATTGCCAGAGGTTTTGAAACCTAGGGTTGCCAACTCTGGGTTGGGAAATTCCTGGAGGTTTGGGAGGTGGAGCACAGGGAGATCACAGTCTGGGGGGGCTCAAACATTTATTTTGGGGGGGTCATCTTACATCCAGGGCCATCTTGCTGTGCCTTTGTGTGCTCTGCTGGAAGAGTTGTTTGTGATCTAACTGCTTGCCTCGTGCCCCTTTCAGAACCAGAGCCCCTCAACTTTGACAATGAAGGCTACGCAGACGATGGGTTTCCTCCAAGCAGGCCAAGAGAGGAGGAGATGAAAGAGAACCATTGGGCCAAGCAAGCGAGACCGAGCCCCAGACGTCACGCCCGCCAACTCACTGAACAGGACTTACCTGTGAACGACTACGTAAGTCTTTCTTCAGGATCAAACCCTGAGATGATATTCCGTGCTGAACGTTAGAATTTCCAGAGGAGGAGGAACTTTTCGTAGATCTGGAGGCAACATGGTTGAGCTGTCAGCACGCATGTGTTTCTTCTTAAGATCTTCCCATGGTCTCCGCTTGAACTAGGATTTCATAGAGCTCTAAGATATGCCCTGGAAAAGTCCAGAGTAGCCCCTTGCTAGAGCTGCGGTGGCTCAAGTGGTTAAGACGCTGAACTGCAGGCTGTGGGAGGTCGGTAGTTCAGCAGCTCGAGACCCGAGTGTGCCGCATGACGGAGTGAGCTCCCGTCTCTAGTTCCAGCTCCTGCCAACCTAGCAGTTCGAAAGCAAGACATTGCAAGTAGATAAATAGGTACCACTTCGGTGGGAAGGTAACAGCGTTCCGTGCGCCTTGGTATTTAGTCATGCCGGCCACATGACCACGGAAACGTCTTCGGACAGCGCTGGCTCTTCGGCTTTGAAACGGAGATGAGCACCGCAACCCTAGAGTCGGACTCGACTGGCTTTCGAGCAAGGGAAACCTTTACCTTTACCCCCTTGCTAAAGGGACCAGGTTGTTGCCTTCAGGAGTGAAACTGACTCCAGCAGCCCTTGCCAGCAAACTCGTAAAGTCGATTTCACCTTCCTAGAAATCGAGGAGGCAGCAGCAGTCACTAGGATTAAGACTGACAAAGCTAACAGGTTGTTTCTCCTGTTCCTAAGCTACACTCAGAAGGCTTCCCCAACTCCCAATTATGTTAGTAAAAGGTGCTCCCCTTGTCTACCTGCCTATCATTACCTGGGAGGTCAACTCAATTTCATCTTGACCCTGTAATCCAGACCAAGGCTTTGTACCTAACCTATTCTGTTTCCCCCCCCTTAGACAGAAAACGGGCTCGAGTTCCACCCCATGTGGGATGAAAGAGGATACTGCTGTGCCCGCTGCCGCCGTGCCCATCGATACTGCCGGAGGGTGTGTGAGCCTCTGCTGGGATATTACCCGTACCCCTACTGTTATCAAGGAGGGAGAGTGATTTGCCGCGTCATTATGCCCTGCAACTGGTGGATTGCGCGGATGTTGGGGCGAGTGTAAACACACAGGGCAAGAAACTCCGGCACAAAAACACACCACAGTACAGGAGACACACTTAGGCCAGCCCAGTAGGCATACGTGTGCTACTAATATTCTAGCTCCCATTCCCGTGACTGGACAGAAGCCACACTGAAATGAACAAGGGTGGTACTAGAAGCCTTCCTAGTGCCTGTCAACAGGCCCCCACCAAAAGGGGCAGGAGCCCTGCTAGAGCCTCCCCCCACCCCAATTGCCTTCTCATGCCCACAGCAGGAGCAGCTTGGGTGAGTAGCTGTACGCTGAAGGAAAAGAACTCAAAACAGTCCAAAGAAACCTAATTATTGAAGGGCTCCAGAAAGCGTTCGATTCCTAGCATCCCTCATCCCCAGGCAATAATTATTCCAAGTCTCCTTCATGGAAAAAGTATCGGCTAGAGTAGGCATGTGAAATGACTGTAGCCCTGCATGAAGATATTTTTCTTTTGGACCCCCCGGAGGGGATTTTTTATTGTTTTTTTATAACACTACAAAAACTATAACAGAAGAAAAGGGAGGGGAAACTACAATTACGGGATAAAGTAAAGAACCCACTACTGACTAAAAACCCAAGAGAGGAGATCCTCCTACTAGCTCAGCGACCTCAAGTCTTCCCATCATTAATCACATTATAAACTGAGTCAAACATTTATAATACTTTCCCTTTTAAAGCTTAAAATTAACTGTCTGAAAACAGTACCCCCGATCATCCCATTTCAAAGTTCTCAAAGGCACAATTCAGAGTCCTTCAGCCTTTACTTCTCCTTTCCCCTTCTCTTCCGTAATTTATAAGGACTTTTGGGGGCTGTTGCCCCTTGCTCTGACAGAGAGTCCTCTCCGGAAGAACCAGAGTCTAGCTCGCTGCTGGACTTCTTGTCCTCTTCTTTTTTCCCGTCCTCTGGTCTTCCCAGCTGAACCCTTAGGAATTCTTGAGCGAGCCCTGCACGAAGAATTGAAGTATACTGAAAAGGCATCAGGCATACCTTTATCCGACACATGTTTTCTGGAGCATATCAGTAAATAGGTTTCTGTGATGTTTGCTTCCTTTTGCTGGACTTCAGCAGCAGGCTGCTCTCCCCCTTTCTGCTTGTGGGGCAAGGAAGTATCACCATTCCTCCCCTGGTTTCATCACAACAGATGTCCGAGAACCCTTCCCTGCAGTAAGGTGAACAGACGGAACTTCCACATTTGACTGACAGCATAGGGTCATCTTGGGAGGAGAGGAAGAGAAAGCTGTGCATGCTGTATGCTGCAATTCACACAACTTCCCTGCACATTTTTAAAACAAAAGTGTATGATGATCTTCTGCTGAAAGGTGAATGCCAAAGTAACTATATTCTAATATAACCGTGTTGGGAGCGTCACAGCTGTAGCCACCTAAAGCACCACAGATGTGTACGTTTCCTTCTGCAGTCCAAGTCCTAAAGCTCTTTTTGTCTCCGGCCACACGACCCGTAAAGAATGATACATGCGAGGAAAGAAATAATTCATTCCCCACTCACCTCTCTAATCAGCTTCCTTGCTAGAAAACGCACATTTTTAACTCTTCCCTATATTCCACACAACATCCACAAGAGGGCAGCCTTTATCCATTAATTCCCTCCACTCAACTTTTTTGCAGAAGAGTAACTACCTGACTCACCTGAGAAGCAAGTTAATTTGGTTGGAAGCTACGTCCTTTTCTGTGAGTCTCTGGCCAAGCCCCACAAAGCACTAGACAATATCTCATCCCCCTTTGCCAGAGACAGACAGGCCTGCTTGAGTGCAGGACAGTATCCATGCTATGTCACCTTTTTAGAAAAGGGACTGGGGAAATACAGGAGCTGCACTAGAGAGGAAAACTTGCATCTCTCCTTCCCTATGGGGTGCTTTGTCAGTTTTACTTGGGGGGGGGGAGAACAAAATTGACCAAGCTCCGGTTTATCCCTTAGCCTGGCTGAGGTTCTGCCAACTAACAAAGGGCTCTTTGCTACCCATTAGCAGCACTTCCTGCCAAGAACATTGCCAGTTTCCCTTCCTTTAAGGGGCTCCCTGTGGAGACAAACACATCATCCCTGTTGACGGTCCAGCGTACATCCTGCACGTACATGTGCACATCTATTTGTACGAAAGAGCCAACACACATTCACTTTGCAATTGAAACCAAGAACTGGCTAAATGGAGGGGGGGGGGTGTAGCACATGTTCAGCTGTACATGTTGAATGTACCATGAGAATAATGCAACACACATGTTTTTAAAAACCAAGTGTCCACTGCGCACTGAGTGTACGCACGCTTGCTGTAACTTGCTGAGATTCCGTTAAAAGACAAGATCTAAAGCGCGCCCTGTCAGTTTCCCCAGAGCAAGTTTAGTGTAGTGTGGACTCTAATCTGGGAAACCTGGGTTGATTCCCCACTCCTCCACATGCAGCTGCTGGTGTGACCTTGGGTCAGTCACAAGGTCTTTCAGAGCTGTTCTCTCAAGAGCAGTCCTTGAAAGAGTTCTCCCAGCCCCACCTACCTCACAGGGTGTCTGTTGTGGGGAGGGGAAGGGAAAGAAAATTGTAAGCCACTCTGGGACTCTGAGTAGTGAAGAGCGGGTATAAATCCAATCTCTTCTTCTTCTACCCTGTGAACTAGCTGTTTTCTTTGGGGGAACTGATATAGTGTGGAGATCTGTCATAATTCTAGGAGATTTCTAGGCCCCACCTGGAGGTTGGTGACTTCAGCATAGTCCCATCAATGCATATGAATGTGATAGATGCAGGGCTATTTTTGGGCAGGAACGCGCAGGAACAAAGTTCCAGCTGGCTCCCGAGTTGGCCACACCCAGCAGGAACTCATTAGCATAACAGGCCACACCCAACAGCAGAAACTCATTAGGATTGGCTACATTAGGGATGTGTGGCCTAACATGCAAAGGAGTTCCTGCTACAAAAAAAAAAGCCCTGGGTTTTGACAACAAACAAGGTAAACAGAATAAGAAGCAAAAGGTGGGTGTGGCTGGAGGACCAGACTTCTGGTAACATGGGTGTGGCCTAATATGCTAATGAGATGTGCTGTCGGGGGTGTGGCCTAATATGCTAATGAGTTCCTGCTGGGCTTTTTCTACAAAAAAAGCCCTGGATAGATGGATTGACGCTCACTGGGCTCACAGGGTGTCAGTTGTGGGGTGGGGAAGGGATTGTAAACCACTCTGAGACTCCTTTGGATAGTGAAGGGCAGGGTATCAATCCAGTCTCTTCTTCCTCTTCATGCCAGTACCAAAAGACCTCCAAATCATGGCATAACTTTGGAAAAGGGGGGAAAGAAGGGTTTGCAGACAGGTGGGGAAGGATCTGTGGCATTGTTCTTATGTAGGAACTATTTAAGAAGTCCCCATGAAAGCCATCTTCTGTGACTTCTGCTTACGCTAAGTGGAGAAGAATAATTTTCTTTGCAGCAGAACACGACAGTTTCAATGCTGGGAAAGATGCACTCTTTGCAACAGAAGCCCATGAAGGGAAGAAAAGGTCTGGCTGTCCTGCAGCCAGGGTATAAGCAAAGCACATCTGTTTCGAGAAGCCTAGAAAGGCCCAAAAGGAGGCCTTTGGCACCCCCTAAAGGCTAACTAGCATAGGCGATGATAATGCAATTCCTTTTCATTACAGACTCGCCTTACAAGACTATTGGAACTATATAGCTGCTCAGGCTGAGCAAACTTTTAGGATTAGCTCTTAGTTTGCTTTTTTTTGCTACAAAATGACCTCCCTTTGAATATTCTGCTCTGCATTTAACTTTTGTTGATAAACGCTTAAACGCTTGTCAGCACGAAGCGGCTTGCTGTGTCGCTTTTAGTGAACATTTAGACATCGAATCTCCAGGAACAGAAACATTAAAATGTATATATATTCTGGGTTTTGTCTTTATTTTCATTTGGGGGGGGGGAGATCCGTGGCCGGGACCAGGGCGAGTGCAAAGGGTCAGCGCAGCCCTGTGGAATATGTGCTCAGACTCTGGTCAACGGTGGGCCCTCTGCCAGAGGTACTTTGGCTCACCTGTCCCCACCAGGGAGGGACAGGAGATCACCTCAAAGGTCAGAGGGACCCTGCAGTGGCCTGGGGGGGGGACAGAGCACAATTTGTGTTTTTAAGCCTTGGTGGTAGACGAGGCTTAAAGGAACGTAAAAGGAGTTCTACTCTTCTCCCTGCTTTAGGATGCATTCGGGGGGGGGGATATTCTCGGGGGGGGGGCACTAGGTCATCTTCCCCGGAGCCCCAAACCTGGAGCCAGCCCTGAGAAGGACCCAATTCCTCTGGCTGATGCAAGAGTACACAAACCCTTGATGGACAAAAAAAGCAAACAAACCCTAAAGCAGTCCCAGAAATACAGGCTCCACTCTTGACACCAGGAACAAACCTTCTTCGTTGCAATGAGTATGAATCTAGTCGATTGCCAGGATCGCTCACGCACTTCCTCCCTACCCGCCCCCGCCCCCAATCCTCCGGGATCGAACCCTTCAATAGAAGTCCAAATTAGTCCTGACATCTAGTTGCCTTCCTTAATGGGACTTTGTTCCTTTCCCAGTCACTAAGATTCTTAAACCCTGGGGAAATCCTCGTTCAGAAATCACGGTTGCCGGGAAAGAAACAGACCTCAGCTTGCATTCTGAAGCCGTGACAAACCGGAGCTAGCTGAAGTCTTCCGTCTCAGCAGTAAGGGAAGAGGAAGCCAGCGAGTCAGCCAGCCTGGGAATTTACCAGGTTCGTGCTCTGAAGGAGTGAGCAGTGACTCACGAAAGCTCATCCCCCCCCCGGCCACAAATTTTGTTAGTCGGGAAGGTGCGACGGGACTCTTGCCTGGCACACCAGGCCCGGGGTCGTGGGGTAGGGAGGCTTTGTTCAGGATGTCCAAATTCAGCCCTATAAGCCAAAGGACTGGCTCACTGGAACTCAACTGCAAGAGGCAACAGGCAAAGAGCGTTAAGCACGTAATTCTTTATTTTGTTTTCAAGACAAGAGGATTTCTATTTAATACATAACACCCCCGTGTGTTTAAAGCATCCCGTAATACTGACGGATCAAAATCACACCAACCCAGCGGGGCGGTGATTGCTAAGGCTAACGGCTCCCCGCGGAGCCTCGGAGCACAATCAAAAAGTTCGCTACATCCCAATTTAAAAAACAGAACAAAACTCAAGGCTTTATCAAAGTACTTAAAGGAAATACAAAAACCTCAGCTGGGGAAGGATGCAGGAAATCGAGCCGAGGTCCTGCCAAAAGGCAGGGAAGGGTTGGGAAGGCTGGCCCTCGTTTCTACGGGCACAAAAAGGAACGATCCCCCCCTTGCCTCACCTTGGCAGTCTGCTCTGCTGCTGACGGCATCCAGCTGACTGCCGACAAGACCAGCTACGCGGGATGTGATTCTGAGAGAGGAGGGAGCGATGAATGAATGCAGACTGCCACCCTCCCGAGACAACGAAAGACACACACAGGTTTCCTTCCCAAATAGGCAAGCGATCAGGAGAAGACCTCGAGAAATCAGCACTAGCTGAAGTTACTTGGGATGTGTCCCGTATGAATAAGAGAGCACCAGATACTTCGACAGGGATCACTGCGGTAAGAAGGACTGATCCAGGTGTTCTGGGAAGGGATGAAGAAAGACCACCCTGGCAGCAAGGAAGAGCAGCTCAGGGGTACCGGGGTTCCCTTCCCCCCCAAGGTCCACGGCTGCTCTTGCCTCAGAGAAAAGAGAGCCAGAAGCGGCTTAGCACACATTTAGGTTCAGTACGGTTTGTGCAAAATATGACCTTAGTGTCCTCAACTATCTATGGCTTCCCAAAATCCAACTGCAAGGATATACTGGTTTACTGCAAGGAGTGGCGGCCTTGTGCTCGTCTGCTTCCTTGTCTCAACGTGACACCTGTACGGAGATTTGAGTAACGCACAGCTTTCAGGAAACCAAATTAAACAGCCAATCAATCAAGTGGCAAAGACACGGAGACAAAATCGACAGCCTGAACAGAATTCTCTCCTGCTGTAAGGCCTGGCCTTCAGAAAGCCAGGTCCTCAATTCAGTATGCCTGGAGCCATGCAGTAAACCACTCTCCCTTCTCGAAAGACCTATTCACAGTCTCCCCTACAGCTAAGTGTCCCATTCGGCACTCATTCAAAATACCGCCATGACAACATCCCCAGAGGAGAAGAACATCCATGGTTGCATCCGGTTCCCTGAAGAACAGGCAGCTTCAGAAGGGATCGGTCTAGTCAAATGGGATTTCAGCAGGTTGGAAGCAAGGAAGTGGTTCTCAAAAGTGTTATTTTTTCCATGTTTTATAAAGTGTCCCAAAATTCTGAAAGGGAAAAAAAAATGGAGAATGCCAAAAGTTAGAGGTGGTGGTGCTCAAACCAAATCCCATCATGCATTTGAGGAACTTGCGAGAAAATATAGCATCACAGGTACACGTGAAGCTCCATTGAAATACAAAGCTGTGTGACTTTTGCTTATAGAAGATTATTACACTGAAGTCCTTTCACTAAACAGCAAACTGAGCCAGGCCTAGCGTCCCTGCACTGGACTGCGTAGACCAATGACCTGATTCTGTATAAGGCACTTCAGTCCATAAGGGCTGAGCCGAACCAAATTCCACCATCTGCGATGCAAATTTGTTCAACCTGCATTTTCAGTTCTGCTTCTACTAGACAAGTGGAGCAGGGGAGGGGCTGTGGCTCAGTGGAAGAGCCTCTGCTTTGCATGCGGAAGGTCCCAGGTTCAATCCCCGACATCTCCAGTTTAAAGGATGAGGTAGGAGGCAATGTGAAAGCCCTCTGCCTGAGACCTTGGAGAGCTACTGCCAGTCTGAGTAGATAACACTGACCTTGATGGACCAAGGGTCTGATCCAGTATAAGACAGATTTGTGTGTTGATAAAAAGTTTTCTCCCACTTACTAGCACCATATGCACTCTTTACACAGCTTAGGTTTACCACAGTACTGGCCTTA